TGCACCTGGATTTAGAGGCATGAAACAGATTTGATGTGAAAAAACAGAAGTATAAGGGGAAACTTACATCTTTGGGAACGACGGGACGGTGTGTTTTCTTATCTTCCTCCCTGTCCACCAGCATGTACCTAGTATGATTAAGCACAGTCATAAACTCAAGAAACAAATAAATGAGGAAAGTTCTGCTGAGTCACACTAGCACTCTTACTCACTTCTCAAGGATGCTCTCTTTAAGTTTCTGGTCTGCCAGTGAGGAAATACTCTTCCCGTGGTTTACCTGAGACAAGAGGATCCCATCAAAGACTGCTAAGGAAGGTAGGAGGAACACAAAACCAACGTTTCTGTGTGTATCAGAGACTCACGTTAAGAGGTGTGGGACTGAGTTGAACATCCCCTTCTATGATAAGACGAACAGCTTCCTCCATGTCTCCTTTGGCAATAGACAGGGCGCTGCGAGCCTCAGTCAGACTACACTTGGGAAACATCTCTAGTAAGTGCTGCTCCTGGGCCTCCCACTCAGACACTGGTGGCTAACACAGACACGTGAATATTTGTTAATGGATGTAACAATATCTACAGTAGGACAAAAACACAAATGCAAATATGTAAAAAAAAACCAATGTGCTGATGTCAGGTGAATCGATAACCTTGGCAGTGGCTCCCTCTGTCTGTGATTTAAGGCACTGCGTTTCTCTTCTTGGTGGCTCACTGGGCAGGCTGGTGAGCTTCAATGAGATCTCTTCTGTCCTTGCCTTAGGGATACCATTTTCTTCACGAGCTAAATAAAAAGGAACAAATAAATTAACATTTAATAGAATAGTAGTAGTATCAGAATCACACTTTTAGAAACGCTGAGAAAATGAACATGTTTGCCACCTGAGGTCCGAGCAGTAGCTAGTTTTGAAGCCAGACTGAACATCATTTCACAGACTTTGACACTGCAGAATAAAAAGAAAAAAAAATGTTATTAAAAAAATAAAATAAAATAGAAATAACATTAAAACAGTACAGATGTTATGTGGTCTGTTTACCTGTCAATTTCTGCAAAGCCAGGTATGTAAGCTTCTAGCATCTCTGCAAAGTCCTCCACATCAAAGTTCTCCTCAACACTCTGCTGGGAACCAAGATCCTCCAGGACCCCAGTGATGTAAGACAACAGGACATCATCCAGTGTGCTGCATGGCACGGTAGGAAAGGAAGTTACTTCCAAAGCCATAGAAAATTATTTTTCAGGCTTAAATGAGGCTGGGGGCTGCTTACCTGAGATCTGCATCAGTAATGTAAGTCTGAATAAATTCGTGCAGTGCACTGTGGATAATTTTGTGGAGGTCCATTACTTTCTCCTGCTGTGAGGTAGAATACGCACAAAAGTCAAAGTGCTGGATGATCACGTCAGTTATATACTGAGCAGTGGCAAATGCTTACCCTTAAATAACCTAACAGCTGTCACCATTTACCAGATTTGGTACACAGTCAGCTCATGCTGAAATAAACACGTTACAAAACCAGTTGTTACAAAAGCTTGAGATCCAGCATCTCTAGCAGGCAGCGATGACTTTTACGCGGGACAGATCTCAAATATGGTTAGCTGTGATGCAACCATAATATTACAAACTTTGAGGAAAGACTTACCATTGCAATTAGGCAGATTAATTCAGATAGTTAAGCAACAGCTTATCTATGCAGCTAACAACGCTTTAGCACAACACACACACAACTATACAATGACCTCTCTCGTGCTTTGCAGCACAGCATTAGCACTGCAGCTGTTACTTATCCGCTAATGGTTAATTACTAGCATCCCGGCTAAGCTATCATAAGCTATGCGATATTGTATGTTGTTATTCACACACATATCACTCGTATTTTCTCAACATCACCAGTGTCTGTTGATCCATAAGGCTAACCTTCATCTGGGCATTTAGAGAAATAGCTGCAGGCTCTTGGAGAACTAGCGCTAGCAAAGTGGCTTCTCGTTAGCTGACAACAACTACAAGCAAGCTAACAGTCAACGCTGAATGCCTAAACGAATGCTGTTACATAAGAGCGAGTTTGTATTGAAGAAAACTTACTGTGAGAGAAATTATGGAGACATGAAGCTAAAGGTTTTCCCCAGATATATACGGGGAAGACAGGTCAGTACACAGATTTCTATTCCTGACAACCGCAAACTTGCACGGCACGATTCAAAACATTAGCACGTCACTTCCTCTAAAAAATGTTTAATCCTTAATAATGTTCGTTATATTTAATTAAAATAAAAAGGAAATCTAATGCAATTCAGACTGTTTCTTTTGAATCTGCACTGTCAAGCTTAAAAACACACACAAAAAACAAAACAACCAAGAGACCATGGTAGAATAATATTTTATTTAACATATATGTTTTTTAAATATTCATATATATTCAAGGGACTATCCTGCTCCCA